ATTTAATTTAATATGAATAGATTTATGAGATTTTTTAATTTGTATTTGATTGCATGATATTAATTGATTATTTTATTTATGATAAATACTTAAATTGAAAATTATATAAATTCTCCTAAAAAATCTTAGGCACGAAGATTCGCCTTATCCTAATACGTTTTCCATTCATTTGTGTTTAAAAATAGATTTAATTTTCATTTATACACACATGTATTATTTATGGACTTACTCAGAATTATTGCATCATTCAGCTTTTCAAGTCTGATTTCCAGTGAACATCTCACACTATGAGGATATGTACTACTTGCTACTGCCTAGTGTTCCTCTAGCTAAGTTTTATATGTTCAGTGGACATGTATGGGATCAGAGCAGATCCCGTAATTTTAGGAACACAATTGGTCTGATAATTACTCAATACACGAATACCTTAGGTATTTTACAAGCTATACTTACTAATCAATTATCGAGATTTTGTTAATAATATAAAATAAAAGATATTAATCAGTGCTGAATTTGTTATATAAACTGTATAAATTGTAAATTGATTTTTCGATGAATAAAAATTCTGTACCTATCAAAATAGGATGAGGAAAAAATATCTTCTCTCTTGCAGTTGAAGTTATGCTACAGCTTAGGAACAATCGTGAATCACTCGATGATTTGTTGGTATCCATGCTGATACGTTGCAAGCGTTTGATGAGATTGCAATATGATGGAATTATACGAAGTCTTGAGACTTTACGCGAGATATGTCAACTTCAAGCCGAACGTAAAACCCGTAAGTAGGAATATTTCTTACGGCACCAATAAATATGATTATATGAAAATGATCGTAGATTTCAGAACAATACATGTGAAACCTCGGAATGTCAATATACAAAATCGGGCTATATTAAACGATATTAATTATCGATACGATCGCAAAATGCACGAACAAGGAGTCGATTTTCGGATCGAAGATATCACTTCAATCCTATTCTTCTATTGATGATTTATCCTGTTAATAACTTTGGGTGATTTAGAAAAAAATTTTGTACTTATTTTGTTGTTTTGTGATTTTATAGTATATGCCTTTTTTTCATTAAATAATGTGATGATAAAATAATAAAATTGAAATAAAAAATGAAATAATATATAATTATATTATAACAGAGAGTAACCAGCAGTGTAATATATAAAAATATTAAAACTGATTAACAACTTATTTTAAGTCTTAAATGATTAATATATATGTTTTGACATATAATAATATATATATACGAGTGTAAGTCATTATAAAGTTATTATTTATTTAATATATATACTAACTATTAATTTATATAAAATTTATATAAAATCATTAAATTGTATTTTTTCTTACTCTATCAGCAAAGATATAAATAAATAGTAATGATTGTTTGTATAGAACAATATATATAAATCAAAATGACATTATTAATTATGAAATCTGATTGCACTTTACACAACAAATGCTAATATTCGTGTACAATAAATAACACATTATACATATATCACATATTATATCATAATCAACACACACATATCATAATCAAAATTTTTTTTTAAACATGTAAATATATATTTAAATAGTTTTAAATTTTATTGAAAAATATCTCATTAATATTCAAATGCTTTTAAGTACTTTTATCTTTTTTCGTCAAGTCTAACAAACTAATATAAAAACATTTCTATTGAGATGTTTTATATGCATCTGAAATTTAAATCTATATATGAAATTTAGTGGTCCAATAAGAATTGATATTGTTTATATGTATCTATTTTTTGCTTTAAATAGTAATATGCGTTATTATATTACTTATTAATTAATATAAACTTATTAATAATAGATATTACACTACATATAAAAAAGGATATTATCTTTTTCATTATTAGTATCTCTCTCACGGACGGTTTTTTCTCACTAAAATTACAAATATATATATATATATATATATATATATATAT